AACTCAAATGAATTTTTTAATCCTAAACTAAAAAAATACCAACTCAAAAAAATTAATTAAAAAAATCCAAACCAAACAACAACTTAATTATTCCCAAAAATTCTAAATTATATTCAATAAACTAGGCACGACCCCTGCGCCTCTCTTCTATATATTCTGCCTTTGCAGATGTAAAACCTGAAAAATTGCTACTATTTTTTGGAGATTTACGTAACTCGTTTTAGATTTTCACGAGGTATATGTGAGATCCACACTATTAATGATGAAAATTCAAAAGAAGTTGTGAGGTCTCTAAAAAAAAGAATCTCAACCACTATTGTTTTTTATCTATACTATATATTAAGCAAAAGAAAATTTTTAACCCCAAGCCTTGTGGGAGGTCCAATCTCACAATCTAAATTTCTTGATTTTTTTATTTTTAAAAAAAACGTTAGCATTTATTAACTTATTCCAACTCCCAAGTCTTACTCTCATAATAACACTTTAATGCATTAAGAACAAACATAAAAAAAAAAATTCTTTGAAATCTAACACATGAATTCCTTAAAAAGTCTCAATACATATAATTATTATCTTTCATAATAACACTTTAATACATTAAGAACAAACATAAAAAAAATTTCTTGAAAAGTCCAACACATATAATTATTATCAAAATATTAAATTTTAATATAATATAATAAAAAAAAGATATTTAATTTCTTGAAAAGTGTAACACATATGGTTATTATCAAAATATTAAACTTTAATATAATATAATAAAGGAAAAAAAGAAGGCATTTAAAAAAATAAAAATAAAAAAAATATTTAAAAAACACAATTCATATAATTATAAACACAATTTATACATAACATGAGCGATATGTTAATTTTTTTATATTAAAAAATAAGGAGTTGCGTAAGTCCCGCGAGTTCCCAACCGTGTCCGGATCCTCTCCAGCCTTTCCTCCTGTCAAGGGCCAGGATTTGGCCACGTCACCAGGGTCAAAACCTGCGGCTCAGATCAAGCTTCGTTTAAAAAAAAAAAATTTTTTGAATGGTTTTTGATTCAACACAGAACCAGAACTTCTCCCCCTTTCACTGTTTCTCTCCTCCTCTTCGAAGCTCAGGACTCCTAACTTTTCACTAATTATTTTGGAAATAAAAATACCAAAAAAATTCTTTCAATCAATGATCCAATGAAAATAAGGAAACGGCATCAAAAAACTGAAAAGAGGCAATAAATGATGAAACCCATCAGCTCCAAAATACCGAAAACTTAATAAAGAAATATCATAACAACAAATCTCATGGCTACCTCTTAGAACGCTTGTGTCCATCCCTAGACCCTTCAAACCCCATCTCTGAAATCAAATCAAACACCATTTATCAACAAGAATTGCCATCTAATAATGGAGAGAAAAAATATTGCAGGAAGTAGAGAAAACAGAGCAAAGAGAACTTACAATTGCAGTATTTGAGCAAAAAAAAGAGTACCCAGATGGGATTTTTTGGGAGATGAACCAGACCCACAAATCCAAATGATCAAATGGGTACTCAAAAATCTGTGTTCACACAATCAAGGAAGAGAAGGGAGAGAAGTTCTGGTTCTGTGTCAATTTTTTTTTTTTTATATCAAGCTTGATCTGAACCGCAGGTTTTGACTCTGGTGACGTGGCCAAATCCTGACCCTTGACAGGAGAGAAGGCTGGAGGGTTTGGCTAGAGAGGATCCGGACTCCTAAAACATTACTTGAGGCAACATATAAAGGCACCACGCTGAGGGCAGGGCTGGACATACACGTGGAGGAACAGGGGCCACGCCCCTTGCTAAAATAAAATAAAAAAATTATTTAGTTTGTTTGGTTTTAATTTTCAGAAAATTCTAATTTTTTTATTTTTTGTATTTTAATATTTTTAATAAATTTTTTTAATATTTTAAGTAATATTTTTAATTTTTAGATATACTCAACATAAATATACCTAAAAAGTAAAAAAATTGTGAATTTTTTTTTAAAAATTCACTAAATACCAAAAATATAAAAAAAAAATATGAGAATTCAGTACATTTTTTATATTTTTATGTATTTATTAATTTTTTAAAAATATATTTTCACAATTTTTGTACTTTTTAAATATCTAAGTAAAGTGTATACAAAAAAGTAAAAAAACTATTTAAAATTTAAAAAATATTCATTAAAAACAAAAAAATACAAAAACTTAAAAATTTAATTTTCAAAAAATTAAATTAAAAAAACTGAAATCAAACTCTACTGTTGAACCTAATATTAATAATATATAATTATTTGGGAAAGAGGGCCCCACTGCTTTTGTCATTATTAGTAGATTGAGCGTCACCTATTTACTAGATGGCTCACTCCCTTTTCTTGGTCTCTTCTCCCCCCTCTCAACAAAAATAAAAATAAAAAAAAAATGAACATAAAATAAAGAATAAAATATAATTAAAAATTCAATTCTTTTCCTAATGAGGAAGAGACAGAAAGCCCAAAAACAAAACCTAATTAGACTTGTTGCAGTGCTGACGCCATTTATTCTTTAAAATTGTAGGGTTTTTCTTAGAGTGAAATCAACTTGAGAAACATAGAGAGAAAAAAAGTGTTATTTCTGCTATTATTCTGCCCATTATTACAAGTATATAATTTATATTGAGTGGTGTTATGAGTACCTTTTGAATTATTTTGGACCTCTATTTTTTTGAGCCTTCACTTATAAATTTTAAAACCCTCAAAATTTTTTTTCTTTCCCAAATAAGGAAAATGCATGAGACCCCAGTGCGGGTGCTGGGGGTCTCTTCTGATTGGCCCAAATTTTTTTTTTTTTTTTTTGGGTTTTCAGCCACTGACAGCCCCCTACGTGGAGGTCGGGGTGCTGGGGGTCCGCAGCATTGCTGCCCAAATAATATCAAAATTATCCTTGTGAAAACATTGCACCTATTGAATGCACACCCTCACCCCCCAAAAAAATCACTCTTCAAAAAAACTCTAACAAAACCCACCAAGAAGAAAAAAAGGCAATGTGATTACTGTCTTTGCTGCCTCATCTACCATTGTCACAGTTGGTATACTCTCTCTCTCTCTAGATATATATATACACATAATTTCTTAGTTTTCTCGTAATAATTTCTTCTTTTACAAAAAAAAATTATAATAATTGATTTGGTTAATTTTGTTGGTAGATATTATAAAATTTTATTCAATTCATGAAATGAAGAGGATCAAAATCCGTGTTTATTTCCCCCTTCAATTTATGTATGTTCAATATGGCTGCAGTTGTCAGTGCTATATATTTGAATTTTTTTTTAAAATTAGTTGATGTATAGTATCTAGAAAATTTGACCTAAAACAGGTTTTCCATTAATCTGGCCTTGTCTATATGATCAGTGAACTAATTAATTTGTTAATTTGTTTACCGACACATAGTAGCAAACATAATGCAAGTCCAACAATCACGAAGATCACAATATACTCCAATCAAATTCAAGGATCGTTTGGCAGTCACTTTTTTAGTTGATTTTTTAGCATTTTTGACTTTTAGCCCGGGACTTTTTGTTTGTTTGGTTTTCTTGTTTGATTTTTTTGGCTTTTTGGCTTCTTGGCATTGGAATGACAAAATTGCCCTCTACTTTGGAATGATATTTTTTTAACTTTTTGTTTGTAAATGGGTCATTTTGATAATTTTGTATTCTAACTCAACTTTTTTGACATTTTATGATTTTGTAACTATTTTTTTGTCCTTATGTGATTATTTAGTCCAAGTTAAAATGCCAAACCGGGGCTCAAAAGTCTCACAAATTTGAGTATGCAATTTTGGCAGCATTTAATAGGAGTCCGCTCTACCTAGATTGTTGTACTTGTACCAAAAGAAATAAGAAATCAAATTTCAAAATATTGTCATCAAAGGATTTTTAAAGTTTTGAGGGTGAGGAGATTTTAAAAATAGAATTTAGAGAAGATGAATGGGTGATGATAGAGGTATGTACTCTCATAAATCTTAATTCATGATGTAGTGGTTGTGTAAGTTTATTTGTGAGATAGGATATCCTAAAATTAATGATATCCTTTTTAGTAATTTTATTTGAGATTATTATTATAATAAAAAAAAGAACAAAAATTGGGAGGTCCAAAATAATTTTTGGAGTACTAATAGCAGCACTCTTTATATTTTCTTTTATTGTTGTTTTCAATTTGTAATCTTTTTATTATCTTTTTTTTTAATGTCATGTTGATACAATTACAATTTTTTTAATTTTACATATTAAGAAAAAATTCATGAATTAGGACATAAGATTTCAATTACTAGTTTTTTTTTTTAATCATATTTGTGAAAATTTAATTTTATTTAGATTTAAGCGTGTTATAAATTCAAAATTAAATGAAATGAGACTTGTACATAATTTACGTGTTTAATCTGAATTCTGAATTTTTAAATTTATATGAAATTTATTTTAATTGTAACAAGATGGAAAATAAATTTCTTACATACTCTTTACTTGTGTACTTTAAAAAGGAAATTGTTGAAAATTTTACCACAGAGTCAATCATTAAAGACTTTCGAGACATAAAAGAACGTCGAGTTCTACTTTGATAGATAATTGAATTGATTTGTATAAAGAATTATATAAGACGTGACTTGACTTTTATTCATATATTAAATTCACTAAATATAATTGTTTTATTTTTTACATACTAATTTAATATTAAATTTTAATTCATTTTTTGAATTCAGAAAAAATAGTAGTTTATATCAATAAAAAAAAATACCGTCAACATGATGATATTTAGCCACCAACCAATTAAAAGTTTTCATCTGTTGTTCGTAGAACTTGCCACACCACTCACTCAGCCGATCCCATGGTAAGAGAGGCAACAATCCTAGACGTTAATCTCATCAACTTCACAACACGTTTTTTAAATTAATAAAAAAAAATTCAAACTCATTAAACTACAAAGGTATAAATTAAAATTAATAAAAGATAATAACATGATCAAGCTAGCGGGAAAATGTAAAATATTGTACTTTCATTCTTGTACATCAATATGTTTACCCCGATTTGAGGCCATTATTAAAACCCAAACTGCGAAGAAACTTATGTTTTCATCAACAAAGAGAATTCTTTTGGCGTTCAAACACCCTCTAGCCCTTGATCCCCAAAAAAATATAAATATCTCAAAGAAATCATGAAAGAAATCTTGTGGCAGATGTAAAGGTTTGAATATACTATTTTTCTGCAAGAAATTTCAAGTATTCCCTCCCTCTCGTGTGAAATTTTAAGTACATTGTGATGGATTTAGGGAGGAATTCTTCAAAATATAATGAATTTTAAAAAGGCATAATATAGGTTGGAGTAAAATATTTAACTTTTGCATGGACAAATCGGCTGCTTTTGATAAACCCTTTGCCCAAATTTGCCACACTGCAAGACCACAACAAAACCATGTTACTTGAAATGGGAGATCGAGTCCGGTTTCTCTGCCATGATTTTCCTACACTGATCTTGTCACAAGGTGTACATAATCTAACAGTTCGAGTTAAAACTGAAGTAAAATGACATTAAAATGACACTCCCTCAAAACAACAAAGTTTTGCATTAACTTTAAACATAGGCCGTTGGATTATCACATGGAAGAGAACATTTTTATTTAGAATTTGGATGGATGCCAAAGTTTTCTCATTAACCCTTTGGTCTCACTTAAATCCATTTGCAAAATTGCAAAATACAGAAGTTATCACTAATACTACCTCTCCAGCACACTGAACTGGATTTGGTAAGAAGCATGCTCCTATAAAAGAAATAGTTCATCAAAAGCAATCACAAGTTCCAATGTCTAGTATGTATGATACTAGTTGGTTTGCTAGGCATATAAAATGCAGGATTAAAGACCGTTACCCTAATAAAACAAATTGATACTAAACATTAGAAGATAACAGACCAGATGGTGCCACAGGGATCATATTTAAAATGATATCAGTCCTAGCTCCACTAATTTCTAAAATTAATCAGCTTACTCCTTCGAAAGTAATAATTTTGGTAACTGTTTGATAACCAATTGTGCATTACACATTCTAGTAGAATAAACCAAGACATTGTATACCTGATTAAGCATCCTCTTGAAGCCAACTGTAGCCAAACAATGATTATCTGAAGTACTAACAAAATTGTAAACTCTATCCATAGTCTTCACAATTGATGAAACCTCAACTCTGTTTCACAATGAATATCTGCCCACTGAAACTGACATTAATTACTCTGAATCAAACTATAACCCGAGCAAATCTAAATGCGATGTTTGGATGGAGAGGTTTGGCGAGAAAAGAAAGAAAACAGAGAGAATTAGGTTTCCCATTACTTATTTAAATGATTAATGAGATGAGAAATTATAAGGAAGAGAAATAATAAAAAACACAAATCACACAAAATTTTAAATTTTGTTTCTCACCAAAAGTAATGAGATTTGGTGAGAAATTAAAATTACTCTTTACAAAAAAATTATAATGCCTAAATTATCCCTCTAAATACAAAACAAATAAAATATAAGGTCACTTTTATCCTCTTTTAATCAACGTTCATCTAAATAAAAAGGTCAAAAACCAATCATTTCTTTTATTCTCTCACCTAGGTGAGAAACTACAGCTATCTCTTTTCTTTTCCTACCTCATGATCCAAACGGAGTGTTAAAGAATTCTTAGAAAGCCTTTGTGATGAGAGTATCTTGTGATCCAAAAATTATGCTTACGTGTCAAGGAGAAAAGATCACAATGAAGAGGAAAATAGGTATCGCAAAATTATTCATTAAACATTGAAGCAAAACAAGATTTACTTCATAAACTGACTAAAGTTGCTGGCTTACAAAATAATGTTACAATTTACTATTAAAAATAAAAATATTAATCAAAGAATTAAGTGAAAAAACAACATTACTGAGACAGGAATATAGAAATTGTAAGATCAATCTAAAGAAAGAAAAAAACCCATAAGAACTTGAAACAGAAAAACAAAATACAAAAAAAGATGCCTAAAAATTGCAAACATGAGAAATATGTTAATGCGGACAAAACAAACACCACAGATCAGAACATGCATATAGGTTTACCTACATCTTCCTCACACTCATTTGGATATAAAATAGACCATTTAGATATAAAATAAAAGATATCCTTCACACCATCTGTTCATTCTGGAAATACAAGAATGCAAAAGATTTACTTCAAAGAGCCTGTAACATGGCCAACACAACTTTTTTTAAAAAAAATTAAAAAGAGCAGCATGGCCCCTGATGAGAATCTGCAAATTTTCTTAACAATCTTCGCACAGCTACATAGCAGTCTCTGTAATCAACCCTTAAATCAATAGAATGCATAATTGATTTTATTGCTACCTGAAAAAGTATTTGAACAAAAGAACAATAAGAGACCATGCCAAGATTGAGATCATGAAAATGCAATAATATCAGTAACTAGTATCACATAAAAGAAATTTCTACATCACCATCAGGGGAAAAAAAAATGTTTTAATGATAATTAATAACAATGACAATGATAAAAAAAGCACCTAACAAGGTCGAATTTTAAGCGTGGAATATTTTTGAGATTTCATGTGTAATGGTTCGAGAAACCAAACTAATTAAATAGATGGATGTATTATACACAATGGTTTGCACAAGGATAACAAATTCAAATTATGAAGACAAGCCACCGAAGTGTGCACATAGTTAGTAATCATATATTGAATTTTTTTTCTTTATTTAACACGAGGCTAGTCTCACACCATCAATTCAAAACATGAAACAATCCCAACTAACTTTCCAAAATTTAATAGTTGATGTCTTTTGCAATAGCAAAAGCAAACTTCAAATGTCACATAGTTTGTACAGGTCAACTGCCAACATAAAATTAAAGAAGCATATCTAAAAGGAAGTACTTCTGAAATTTGATTCTTTTAATATGATTCTGTTATAATTGACACACATTAATATTTTCTTCTTAAGTGAGGGGGAGGTATTCCCCACCCCCACCCCTTTTCTTGGCTGTGGGTGAGTGGTAGGGCAACTTGTTTTAACTTTTTAAGTATAAAGCAACTAAAAAACTCAAATGAATATACGACAAAATGGTCAATGAAGAAATACCCAAAAGAATCAATATATGTTGATATAGTTTTGACATCAATTCCACCGGCTTCTGCACGTGTTGCCAAGAATTCGGGTACGTGGACACGTTGAGCTCCAGAGATTATCTCCTCCCCTAAAGATGAAGGCACAGAGAAACAAAGTCAGCTTTAATGTATAATGATCCAAAAAAAGGGATAAATGGAATAAGAAAAAAAAATCATTTATTTGTTTTTTAGTACGTGATTTTTATATATTTCAATGAGAAGTTCATTATGCAGGCCAAATGAAGGAGAGAATAGAGAAGGAGAAAAGGGCCATGTTAGGGAATATTATGGGAAGCATAAGTGGACATAAACAAGCAGTAGTTCAACATAGAGAATAAGAAATACACTAATAATAACCAATGATAACAACAAAGGCAGTAACAAAGCCATCTGGGGTGCAGGCAGAATATATGCAAGATCTATAACATGGATATATGGACTCCAAGATGAGCTTGCGGTACAGGTATATGGATAACAGATTCATATGGACAGGTGTACAATATGAAAACATGGCCTCCAGAATTAGCATCTGAGTGCAGACATGTCTGGATAACAGATCTATATGATACACAAGCTTTGCCACTATTTTGAAGTATAGGTTATCCCATTGGATATTGTGTTCACCAGGGTACTTCATGGTACAAGCATATAAAAATTTAAGTCGAAATATCTACCATGTCACCAGGAATACACCTCTTCCATAGTAGTACCAACAGCCAACCTGCCCTCAAAAACTATATTCGGTTTGAGATTCTTAAACTTGTAGGACTCCAGATATTCTACAAGATTATCACATTCTGTTTTTGATGAAACAGAGTAATTGGACTCCCATTCCTATTCTATTTTGAAATTTAAATAAAAAATAACACATCATTAATCAACATGCCTAGTGAAAGTAACTTGAATTACTCACCATTTTTCTGAAGATGTAACTAGGAATATACTTCTTTTAACACCAATTCAGCCAACGATCTCATAAGCACCACTACAAGTTTTATTTTAAAATATCTACTTCGTATTCTTTTTTTATAAGCTTTATCTTCTATATTCTTTTAAACCATTCTTCCAAATGTTGTGAATTTATTGGCCATGTTTGGTTTGTGTTTCCCAAACAATTTTGGGAAAAATTCTCTACAAATAAGTTTTTAAAAGTAATCAAACCAAACAAATTTTCCCAAAAAAATTTCCCAGAACTTATTTGGTTTACAAGTTTTTCAAACAAATCTCTCTCTCATATACATCAAATCAATCACTTTTTCCAAAACTCTCTCAAAATAATTTTCCAAAACATATTTTGAAAAAAACTAAACCAAACAACTTTTCGTACATTTTATCTCTAAAACTCATCTCCCAAACTCAAACCAAACATACCCATTATCTTCCAGTTGCCTCACAGCTTCTACTACACAAAGTTTTTCAATATTATATTTGGCAAAAGATGGGTCTTCGTGGATACGTATCCAATACTTCCTAAACATATCCATGATTTGAAATTAATTTTATTTAATTTTGAGAACTATCTAATACTTTTCGAATACTCTAGGCCACGTACCAAAACTATTATGATTTTGAAATCATAATAATTCTTTGCATAGCATTAGAGTGTAATTGTTAAGATAAATATGAGAATAATTTTTCAATACTTTGGTCACTACTCAGAGAAGAAGAAAAAAAAATAGTAAGATAAAAATAGTACCCCACTTGTTATAATTTATTGAATTGGCATCAATGTGTCCTGCATGTGTCCCATATCTATATCCATACTTCATAGAAAGTAGGGATAACAAGCAACATATAACAATACTAAATTCGGATATCAACAAATAAACAAGAAAATTTGCATACAAACACTTTTGCATATAACAATTTAAATGCAAAAGTGAAAGTCACAAGAGAGAGTTAAAAAATTATAATATATTGAAATAAAATTTTTATAGGACCTACTGAAAATTAGAAAGTAAACTAACTACTGGGTATTGGTTCTTAAACTAATTTCCATTCTTTGAGTTTATGTATGATACAATACCACTAAGGGTTGGTTTGGGAATTGGCTTTTTAGCTAAAATATGAGGTGAAAAAATTGAAGTGTGGGAATGGCTGTTTGGCTAAAAAAAAAGTGTAAAAAGTATAGAAGAAAAGGAATCTTTGACCTTTTTGTATATAACTTTTTGGCTTTTTTAATGGTTTTTTTGGCTAAAATGTTTGCTTCCCAAACACACTCTAAATATTATAAAAATATTTTTCATGAATGTACACTGGCCATACTAAAATTCATATTTGTGCCTCATATTATTTGACAATGGAGATAAAATAACTAAATAAATGAATTTAAAACAAAAAAACAAAAACTCCAAAAGAAAATGGTAATCAAACAGTGCTTGCCTCGAATGAAGACATCAAATGAATTACTATAAGCTGGATCATCACTGCAAGGCATGGTATAGAATGGTCGGACAGCCAACGGATAGCGATGGAGTATATAGAACTCAGTCCCATACCTACATTCAGTAGAAAGTACAGATCATTTTATACACAATATCATACTCAAACAGAGGCATAAGAAAAGGAGTATAAGAAGGTGGAAAAGAAAAAGAAAAATAGTTTCATAAAGTGGTCAGAAAAATGCAAATTACTTCTCCAAAACAAGCTGGCCAAGCTTTCTCTCTGATTCTGTGTTCAGGTCCCCTAAAGGATCAATTTCAACACCAGCTTCCTGTGCAAACAAGTCTTATTGAAATAAGAATGTGAATAAGCAGGAAATGACAAGTGCATATTGACTTGACAAGAGCAGTAAAATATCAGCCAAAAAAAAACTTTAGTAAATATCTGCTTTCATAAACGTCTTTTGACTTCATGTTGACTTTTTTGTTTTCTACACAATCCTTTCTATTTTTTTCGTATTACACATCGAAAAATAAAGAAAACAAGGAAGTTCCACAACAGCACTGGTAGAACTCATATATTAGCAGTAACTACGACACATATTTCCACACCATTGCATATCCTAACTAAATACCTTCTTATACCGTCTTCAATATGTAACGTGAACAACACTTCACCAAAATTTTTATTTCATTTTGTAGTGTATCCTATTCTCGGGGAAATTCCTAGAAATTTTTCAACAAATCTTTACTGGTAAGACGTAGGCCTTTCCAGTAAAAAAATGTAACAAGAAATTGTAACGGAGAAGAAAAAACAAGTGTTCGGTTTCAAATTCTGGGACCACTTTTACAAGAAAAATGGAGATTGATTATGAGGCGGCACATGAATTATAGTCTTTGCGACTTCTCTCGTTTGGAGTTGAGTGGGTCTTCCCTCAGGGCACTGATGCACTCTTTACTCTCGAAAAATCGGTTTGGAGAAGGAAGGCATGGTGTTTGGTTCCCTTGAATTTGATGTGGTTAGTGTGTGGGCTGAAAAAATAGAAGATATTTTTACCAAAAGTTAGAGCCTTTTTTAGATTACAGAGTACATCTTTTGTCTATTTTGAATAGTTGGTTTTTGGCAGTGGTCAATCCATTCTTGAACCTATTTGTGGATTATAAATGTTTCTCAATCAGACCTAACGGTTCCCTTTCTTTTTATTTTTTTAGTTTTTTTTGCAATAATAAGCATACACATATTTCAAAGTACTATATATTTTAAAATAAATGTTTCTCGATTACTTTTTCATCTTCCTCAACTCTATTTACAGTTTCTAGGTCTATTTGTTTAATGTCAAGAAAGAATATATTATGGTCTTTAAATAATTTGTGGTTTGTGGGATTTGGACCAACATTTCTTGCTACAAAAAATTTATTCCCAATTAGAATTTGTAATCACGTCCTTGTAGAAAAACTAAGGTATAAAAAACGTCCCAAAATCTTTTGCTAGTTTGTGCCGAATCTTATGATTCTAGATTAGATCCAATTCACGATTCTTAAAATTACTATTTCAATTCAAATATCACAATGTGATTCTCAATCTGACAACAATGCTTTCAGTAAACAATACATTAGAGAGAGAGGGAGAGGTAGAGGTGTCACCTTTAGCATTTGAACCCCCTCTTGAAATGTAAGTCGTAAAGTGTTTCTCAAGTGCTGCATGGATATCCAATCAGTGCCACTAATCAGTAACAAAATAGGACTATCTATAGACTAATAGAATTGTTGAATTATCACAAAAATTCCCAGACAGAAGTCTAAAATATATTTTAGCGTGATCACAACAATTACTTTTTATAAGAGTTTTCTGGTACGGAGGCGTATATAACATGCTATTATTTCCAATAATGAAATATGATGTAGAGTATTTCAACTACAATGAGAAAACAACGATATGACCTTCAAAGGCTCAAATATATTTTAGACATATATTAAATATATTAAATTCACTAAATTTTATTCATATATTAAATTCACTAAATATGGTTGTTTTATTTTTTACATACTAATTTAATATTAAATTTTAATTTATTTTTTGAATTCAGAAAAAATAGTAGTTTATATCAATAAAAAAAATTTATTCATATCTTGGCCTCTCCGCAAATGAATTTCTGGTTCGTCCCTGACCGAGGGTGATGGGGGATCTGGACCAATCCCTAACCATTCCTCAGTAGTCATGTTCATTTTTTTCTTGACAAAAAAGATGAGAATTCCCAATGTTAGTACAAGAAGCTTAAGATTTGTAAGTCCTAAATGTAATACGTTTTCAAAAAAAATTCAATATCTTTTAAACAAAATTTAGACCATCTCAGACACGTGGTGATGGAAAAATTGTAAGGACAGTGAAAAAGTAATTTCGCTATAAATGAAACTCTTTTCTGGTGCAACTCTAACATGGCATTTGCATCACCATGAAAATATAAATATTCTTTCATTGTCCCATTAATTTGTAATTTTTTTGAAAAATTATCTACTGGGTCAAAAACACCGTCAACATGATGATATTTAGCCACCAACCAATTAAAGAGGGTGATGGGGGATCTGGACCAATCCCTAACCATTCCTCAGTAGTCATGTTCATTTTTTTCTTGACAAAAAAGATGAGAATTCCCAATGTTAGTACAAGAAGCTTAAGATTTGTAAGTCCTAAATGTAATACGTTTTCAAAAAAAATTCAATATCTTTTAAACAAAATTTAGACCATCTGAACTCAGACACGTGGTGATGGAAAAATTGTAAGGACAGTGAAAAAGTAATTTCGCTATAAATGAAACTCTTTTCTGGTGCAACTCTAACATGGCATTTGCATCACCATGAAAATATAAATATTCTTTCATTGTCCCATTAATTTGTAATTTTTTTGAAAAATTATCTACTGGGTCAAAAACACCGTCAACATGATGATATTTAGCCACCAACCAATTAAAAGTTTTCATCTATTGTTCGTGGAACTTGCCACACCACTCACTCAGCCCATCCCATGGTAAGAGAGACAGCAATCCTAGACGTTAATCTCATCAACTTCACAACACGTTTTTTAAATTAATAAAAAAAAATTCAAAACTCATTAAACTACAAAGGTATAAATTAAAATTAATAAAAGATAATAACATGATCAAGCTAGCGGGAAAATATAAAATATTGTACTTTCATTCTTGTACATCAATATATTTACCCTGATTTGAGGCCATTATCAAAACCCAAACTGCGAAGAAACTTATGTTTTCATCAACAAAGAGAATTCTTTTGGCCTTCAAACACCCTCTAGCCCTTGATCCGGAAAAAAAATATAAATATCTCAAAGAAGTCATGAAAGAAATCTTGAGGCAGATATAAAGTTTTGAATATACTATTTTTCTGCAAGAAATTTCAAGTATTCCCTCTCTCTCGTGTGAAATTTTAAGTACATTGTGATAGATTTAGGGAGGAATTCTTCAAAATATAATGAATTTTAAAAAGGCATAATATAGGTTGGAGTAAAATATTTAACTTTTGTATGGACAAATCGGCTGCTTTTGATAAACCCTTTGCCCAAATTTGCCACACTGCAAGACCACAACAAAACCAAGTTACTTGAAATGGGAGATCGAGTCCGGTTTCTCTGCCATGACTTTCCTACACTGATCTTGTCACAAGGTGTACATAATCTAACAGTTCGAGTTAAAACTGAAGTAAAATGACATTAAAATGACACTCCCTCAAAACAACAAAGTTTTGCATTAACTTTAAACATAGGCCGTTGGATTATCACATGGAAGAGAACATTTGTATTTAGAATTTGGATGGATGCCAAAGTTTTCTCATTAACCCTTTGGTCTCACTTAAATCCATTTGCAAAATTGCAAAATACAGAAGTTATCAATAATACTACCTCTCCAGCACACTGAACTGGATTTGGTAAGAAGCATGCTCCTATAAAATAGTTCATCAAAAGCTATCACAAGTTCCAATGTCTAGTATTATGTATGATAGTTGGTTTGCTAGGCATATAAAATGCAGGATTAAAGACCGTTACCCTAATAAAACAAATTGATACTAAACATTAGAAGATAACAGACCAGATGGTGCCACAGGGATCATATTTAAAATGATATCAGTCCTAGCTCCACTAATTTCTAAAATTAATCAGCTTACTCCTTCGAAAGTAATAATTTTGGTAACTGTTTGATAACCAATTGTGCATTACACATTCTAGTAGAATAAACCAAGACATTGTATACCTGATTAAGCGTCCTCTTGAAGCCAACTGTAGCCAAACAATGATTATCTGAAGTACTAACAAAATTGTAAACTCTATCCATAGTCTTCACAATTGATGAAACCTCAACTCTGTTTCACAATGAATATCTGCCCACTGAAACTGACATTAATTACTCTGAATCAAACTATAACCCAAGCAAATCTAAATGCGATGTTTGGATGGAGAGGTTTGGCGAGAAAAGAAAGAAAACGGAGAGAATTAGGTTTCCCATTACTTATTTAAATGATTAATGAGATAAGAAATTATAAGGAAGAGAAATAATAAAAAACACAAATCACACAAAATTTTAAATTTTGTTTCTCACCAAAAGTAATGAGATTTGGTGAGAAATTAAAATTACTCATTACAAAAAAATTATAATGCCTAAATTATCCCTCTAAATACAAAACAAATAAAATATAAGGTCACTTTTATCCTCTTTTAATCAACGTTCATCTAAATAAAAAGGTCACAAACCAATCATTTCTTTTATTCTCTCACCTATTTCTTTTATTCTCTCACCTAGGTGAGAAACTACAGCTATCTCTTTTCTTTTCCTACCTCATGATCCAAACGGAGTGTTAAAGAATTCTTAGAAAGCCTTTGTGATGAGAGTATCTTGTGATCCAAAAATTATGCTTACGTGTCAAGGAGAAAAGATCACAATGAAGAGGAAAATAGGTATCGCAAAATTATTCATTAAACATTGAAGCAAAACAAGATTTACTTCATAAACTGACTAAAGTTGCTGGCTTACAAAATAATGTTACAATTTACTATTAAAAATAAAAATATTAATCAAAGAATTAAGTGAAAAAACAACATTACTGAGACAGGAATATAGAAATTGTAAGATCAATCTAAAGAAAGAAAGAAAAAAATCCATAAGAACTTGAAACAGAAAAACAAAATACAAAAAAAGATGCCTAAAAATTGCAAACATGAGAAATATGTTAATGCGGACAAAACAAACACCACAGATCAGAGCATGCATATAGGTTTACCTACATCTTCCTCACACTCATTTGGATATAAAATAGACCATTTAGATATAAAATAAAAGATATCCTTCACACCATCTGTTCATTCTGGAAATACAAGAATGCAAAAGATTTACTTCAAAGAGCCTGTAACATGGCCAACACAACTTTTTTTAAAAAAATTAAAAAGAGCAGCATGGCCCCTGATGAGAATCTGCAAATTTTCTTAACAATCTTCGCACAGCTACATAGCAGTCTCTGTAATCAACCCTTAAATCACCTCCAAGCCTGTTCAAAGATCCTAAAACATGGCCACCAGAACATTGGATTTCTCAACAACTCTTCTTCCATTAGAATGCCATGCACGTCCCTAACAGTACACATTACCTTCAGGCGAACTTAATTGTGAATTATGATATCACGTCAATCAACAAAGGGTTTGTTATCCCAGGCCTCTCTTGCCTCGAGTAAATCTGGACTATATCGGTTTGTGAGAATTTCAACTTGTTCAGCAAATGACTTGTTTTTATGTTCACCTATGTGATTGATCATTTGATTCCAGCGCTTCCTACATAAATCTCCAGACCTATGGTCAAGAAGATAGTCCCAATCCACATCTTCTATGCAACACGCATCCAAGCTAAAAAGTGTATCAAGCAGACGATAATCATCAGTATCGGTCCAATTCCCTTCAGCTACCATAGATGATGATAACTGATGGTACCATTTATCGCAGCAGACTCTATCATTTCGAGTTAACAACTTGTCACTAATTGCACCCCAGCTGATATTATCTCTCAACATGCCATGCTGCGACTTCTTTTCCTCATAAGCCTTCATTCTCAAATCCATGTTCACTAAATCAAATAAATTCTGGTACTCCTCCTGGGACCAATGTCCTTTATTTGTGTTAGGTAGTTTTATTCTGCGCCATGCATCCTTCAAGTGAATTCTATGTTTTCCAAGTGCATCAGCCAACTCCCTCCATTTTGGGCCATGTTGTTCATGATACTTTCTTACACGTTCAAGCTCTTCAGTAGTCCATGAACGACTTTCAGCCCTTTCAAACAAAACATGAGCTCGGTAATATACAGATTGAAGAGGCCTATGAGGTAAAACGGCTCCAATGTCCTTCCAACAGTTCCTTATTTTTGGGTGAGAACTACAGCGTAAAACCATGGCCAAGCCATCTTCACCCAAGTCATTATACCGTATATAGTTAAAAACAGCGTCTTTAATTATCTCATCTTCTTCAGGTGAAAACCGCTTACCTCGCACTAATTTCTCATCCTCGTTCTTTTCCTTCCCCTTACGTGGACCATCAGATGAAGGGAAAACCTCTATATTACTAGAAAACCTAACTTTTTTAGATTTCGCTTTAGGTTTAGGATCTTCAGAACCTGGTTCAACAGAATTGGGCTTCTTCCTATTACCTTTGTCACCATTTTTTGTCTCTATTTCCCGCATTTTGTTTCTAGCCGAATGATGATTTCGATTGTTGTATCCAAAATCTTTATCTTCAGTCAAACTGCTTTTGTTGCCAAGCTCCTCAGCCATCATTTCTTGCATCCCAGCACCCAAATCATCTTTACCCTTTTTCGTCTCTCTCTTCCTCTTCTTCGTTTTGACCTTATCACTAACATCCACATCATAGTACTCCCTCACTTTCCCAACATCTTCTGCAGCTGTACTTTTCTTCTTCCCCTTGAAATCAATAATTTCCTTGCCTTCTCTCCCTTTGTGTGTCTTCTTCTTTTCAATCTGTTCTTCCCCATTCTTCACATCAGCAATATTGTCCTTTCGAGAACTTTTCTGATCCTTGACTACCTCATCTTTTTCTGTCTCTTTATCTTTACAGACTTTCATTGGAGAAGAAACAGATTCTTTTTTGTCTTTCTTTCTATCTTCCTTGCGCCTCTTCTTTTCTTTTCTTGCTTTAGATTCACTATCATTCCCTAAATCCTTGTCATCATCTATTTTCAAGCACCTCCTCTCTTCCCCTCCCATGTGAATCTCATTATTTGACTTGTCATTATCCTCACCAGGTTTTGATTTTCTCTTTTTCTTCTTCCTCTTCTCCTTTTCTTTCTGATAATTATCATCCACTTTTGCATAATCCTTCATATTTATATCCTCATTATGAGTACCATCAATTTCAACATCGATAGAAACTTCAGCTTTCTTCTTGTCTTTCTTCCTTCTCTTATCCTCTTTGCTCAGTTCAAAACCATCCTCCACCCCATTAAGCATTGCCCCATTGTAGTCACTCACTTCTTTTGAAGCACTAGCCTCATTCTTCTTATTTTTCTTAGTCTTCTTTCCCATCTTCCCTTCAAAAGTTGCCGCCTCTTGCACACTGATGTCCATGTACATACCACCTCTCTCAAGCTTCTTCACTGTTACTCTGCAAACAATAAGAATTAACAGGGATAAGTCAGAAGCACAATTGGCTACATGAAAGAATAAGACACTCAAAATGCATAGAATGAAAATTTATATTCCTCTTGTGTAGCTACAGCCTCCCAAATCTTTGGAAGGAGTGAGAACATTATTCACATCATTCATTGGAAAAATTGATGCCCCATCACAGAATCAATTCTCAAAATCCAAGTCTTAAGCTAATCTTATGTCATATGCAATGGTGAAAGGTAATCTCCAGGCACTAAGCCTTATATTACCAGCGACCTAAGAAGCACGGGTGCGGGTACCAGTACGAGTGCGGGTACGCCGATACGGCAAAATCTCAAAAAAGTAGTATACAGGTACGGCTACGGTACGCCGATATTTTTTTATTTTATTTTTATTTTTTATAATTATGGTTAGAAGATCCAACCTACAAATTGAAATAAAATATCAAAACTAAAAAGAGAACTATAAAACTAAAAGACAAATATTAATATATTTCAATTCAACACAACCAACACCAATTCAGTCCATAATCCAAGCAAAGGAAAAACAACAACACCAAAAGAAAAACAAGGCCAACCAACAACCAACCAGCACCAAAATAATATTTGTGATTAATTATTAACATTCTGTTGAGGAAGATTAATTATTAACATCAGATTATAATTATTTGTGATCTAATTTTTTTTTAACATCAGATTATAATTATTAACATCAGATTATAATTATTTGTGATCTAATTTTTTTTTAACATCAGATTATAATTATTAACATCAGATTATAATTATTTGTGATCTAATTTTTTTTTAACATCAGATTATAATTATTAACATCAGATTATAATTATTTGTGATCTAATTTTTTTTTAACATCAGATTATAATTATTAACACTTGCAGCAGATTAATTATTATCTAATTTTTTTTTAACATCAGATTATAATTATTAACATCAGATTATAATTATTTGTGATCTAATTTTTTTTTAACATCAGATTATAATTATTAACATCAGATTATAATTATTTGTGATCTAATTTTTTTTTAACATCAGATTATAATTATTAACATCAGATTATAATTATTTGTGATCTAATTTTTTTTTAACATCAGATTATAATTATTAACATCAGATTATAATTATTTGTGATCTAATTTTTTTTTAACATCAGATTATAATTATTAACATCAGATTATAATTATTTGTGATCTAATTTTTTTTTAACATCAGATTATAATTATTAACATCAGATTATAATTATTTGTGATCTAATTTTTTTTTAACATTTTTTTTTTTTTTTTTAATTTTTCTTAATATTGCTCCGGTACCCCTCAATTCTCCAAAAAAATTGATTTCTGCCCCGCCGTACCCAAAACGCACCAAAGGCGTACCCATGCCGTACCCGAGCCGTACCTATGCCGTACCCAACAGAGGCAGACGTACGCGACTACTTTTTGCCGTACCCGGTACGCGTGCAGCCGTACCAGTACGCATACCCGCACCCGGTAAGTACTTGGTGCGTGTACGACACTATTTTTGGAGTACCCGTGCTTCATAGCCAGCGACACAATCTCTAATCATCAATTTTCTAGCTCTTAGCACTCATTGCGTTCCAAAACCCTCAATTTTATAAGAGTGTTGGCTAAAAGACCTAGAATGATGAAATAAGGCATGTAGATCTGTAAATACATACAAATGTGAGTTGTATTTGAGTGTCTATGTGTACATATATGTAAAGAGAGTGAAATCAGAGGAGAACGGATTACAAGAAAGAGAATGGTGGAGATGAGCTAAGTCAGACTAGATACATATAAAATCCAAAAGACCAACCCATAGATGCAATCACTATTCAGCCAAGTCCCAACCAACAAACCCTTTAACCCACATGTACTCTTATCCTCAGAAGAAGAAGAAAAATGTAATTTTTTTTTTAATTTTGCAGAGCTAAAGCTTGTAAATTTTTCAAGCAAACCAAGCACAGAGTGTGAATGTATAATCTAGCAAGTAGTAACAGTTGAAACTATTAAAGATGATTTTTTGGGGATATGGGGAGGGGTTGGAAATGAGAATCATAAACATTAGATAGGTAAAACACATCAATACACGTGTAAAAATTGATCATTTAAGAGCATATCTCCAATCCTTACTCTATTTTTTTCATCAAATTTGAGTACAAAAATTGGTTAAAAGTTTGATCTGATATGAAAACATTACAATCTTTACTCTCTTTTTCCATCGAATCTTTTTGAAAAATTACAACTTGTTTTAACCCCTTTTTTTTTATATGCAAGAAAACTATCTCCAATCTTTAAATCTTTATCAAATTTCGTCAAATTTGAGTACGATTGTTTAGAATTTCGTGAAGAATTTGGTTCATCCTTGATTTAGCGAAAAAAATATATATATTTTACCTCTCTCTTGATTTGATACAAATTCGATAAAATGGTTGGAGCAGAGTTTTATCCATTTTATGAACAAAATTGATGAAGGGTTGGAGATACGTAGAATGAACGATACATTACTAGAAATAAAACAAGAACAATAAAATCACCAGTCTTCGACGGAAAGTTCAGTGGAAACCCATCGCCGGCAAAAAGAGAGAGATTGAATTGGCTGTGGTCTCAGCGACGCAATGGTGGTGCCCGGTGTAACTGTGGTGGTGCTGCAAGATAGCCGAGAGAGAGAGAGAGAGTGGTTGGCGTTCTGAATCCTGATCAGGGTTTCTCAGAATATTGAATTTTTTGTTTTAAAAAAATTAAATAATTATAAATAAACAATTTTACTTTTATTCTCTAAACTGTCATTAATTTTCGTTCAATAATACTATATGTACTAATTAATATACACTTAACAAATAATGTAGCATCATTTATATAATTTTAAATATTTGTATCAAATAATGTAGCATCATTTTATGAAAAATGAGTAAGACCCCCTTTGTGGAGGACCCCCACAACCCCCTTTGTGATCCACACTATTCATGATGTGGACCCCACACATACATGAGTGGGTCCCATACATCATGTATGGTGTAGATCAGTAAGGGGGTTGTGGGGGTCCTCCACAAAGGGGGTCTCTATCATTGCTGTATAATAAATGTGGTCAATAATAATATCATAATACTAGTTAGTACACTAATGTGTATACTAATTGATACATGTAACACCACTGATTTTCATTTGATCCCTAAATTATCAATTTCGTTCAATCAGACACTCTAATACAAATCAATTAAAGCCTAAGGGCAAAGTCTGAAAATGGCACTCTCTTTATTCAACAATGATACATCCCACTAATTTGGGAGCACTAATGGACCACTAATGAGGTGAAAATTCAAAAAAAAAAAAAAAACTTAAGGCCAAAGCATCACATCAGTCAGTGGGACCCACTCTTTAGAGCTCCTTTAGTGCTCCCAATTTAGAGCTTCCAAACATTTTTCCTCTTTATTTTAGCTCTTTGGAAATAAACTATTTTAATTGATTATTTTAATTGACTATTTGACTTTTTTAATTATTTTAAGTTAAAATAGTTGTGGTCTATATAATAGTTCATTTTTTTTTTACAATTAATTTGATGGTTACAAGAAAAAAATGAAATAATTACGGATTGATCGTGACATTTTATCTTATTAATTATTTTAATCCATTTTATGTTTATTAATTATTTTAATCCATTTTATGTTTATTAATTATTTTAATCCATTTTATGTTTATTAATTATTTTTGCCAAATAAACTCTAACCAAATACTTAATTGGGCCTATAAACCGAGCAAATTCATGTCGGACTTCATAAAATCCGAACCAACTTGCTTTCATCCACATGCTTATGCAAATCCACTCACAAACATCAGAATCCAACTTACATGGATTCAGGCCCACAAATCTGAATCTAATCCATTACCCAAAACCCAACTCAACAATTCTTTATTGAAAGGAAAAAGAAAAAGAAAAACTGATGAAATTTAGAACTGGTTTGGCAACTTACAAAAAAGTCAAAAACTACTAAAAAAGTTAAAAAGTTATCACTATTCACCCAAAAAATATATAAAAAAATTATTTTCATACAAATTGTGAGACAACTCACTCTGACGGAAGACGGTTGTGCTTGACTTTAGTGAGGATAAATTACACAAGCGGAGGCAAGCTTAAGGACTGTGTTGTTCGGCTCATGGGGGCTATCACGGGTCCCGTTTTGATAATCTGAACCGTTGAATGTGTAAAAATCGTTGAGTACTGTATGCCTGTAAAAAATCACGTTGGTCGGATATCGCTAATTATACGATCAAATCAATTTTGTATAAAAAAATAGATGGTGTTATAGGTAACGGCTGAAAAAAAAACTAATCCGATCAAATAGCTATCGATATCCGATCAACATAGTTTTAGCATATAGTAATCAACAAGTTCTACACATTGAACGGTTTCGATTAGCAAAACGGGACCCGTGGTGGGCCCCCATGGACCAGACAACACCATCCAATTTATGCCCCGAAAAGGAGAGAATCAACTCCTCCCTTACACTATGCCACGCTACCCCTTACGCTGCCGACTGTATGGGCTATTCCATCACTAACTTCTCCTATACACTTATTTATACAATTTTTAATACACATTTTTTCATAAAAAGTCAAAAAGTTAACCCAAACATTCATATTTTTTTCTCAACTTTTTAGTCCAAAAAGACAAAAAGTGTACTTATTTATACCACCCCAAACAACCCCTTAAACTTGCAAATATTATTCCCAAAAAAAAATGAAGCAGAGACAAGTACTTAAAGAAGACTCAAGTATCGATAATCAAACCAAACCCATTTCATTGAAACTAAAACCTAGTTAAATTAACAACCTAAAATTGGGGAAAGCAGTGAATTCACAAAAAATTACCGACTCCGAAAACTAGATAGACTTTTTATATCCGACTCTAAAAGTTGCTCATGCTTCAAAGTCTCCAAACTCAAATAAATTGCAAATGATGATGGTGATTTGATGACGAGCACAAT